CCCCCCCGGTCTATACCGCACAACAAAGCAGAAGGGGAAGCACACGCCAGAGCCCTGAGGAATGACGGGTCCCCGCTGTGTTGACAGCCTTAATGAAAATGTCACTCTTTTTGAATGATTGCATTAAGCTAATGGCAATACCTCACATGCCTAGAATGCCCCAGGGATCCACATAGCAACTACTGTCCCTGCAGAGGGTCCAGCAATGAAATGCAGTCACCCCCAGGCTGGTGGGGGGGTAGCTATTACATTGCAATGCTGGATGAGTCTGGAGAAGAGGAGACTGAGGGGAGATTTAATAGCCGCCTTCAACTCCTTGCAGGGCGGTTGCAAAGAGGATGGAGCTGGACCGTTCTCAGCGGGGGCAGATGACAGGACAAGGAGCAATGGGTTCCCATTGCAGCAAGGGAACTTGAGGTTGGATATTGGGAAAAAAAAAACCTTCTCAGTAGGAGGGTGGTGGAGTGCTAGAACAGGTTACCCAGAGAGGCGGTGGACTCTCCATCCTTGGAAGGTTTTTAAGACCCGGCTAGAGAAAGCCTTGGCTGGGATGATGTAGTTGGAACTGGTCCCGCTTGGAGCAGGAGGTTGGATTAGATGTGACCTCCTGAGGTCCTTCCAACCCTCATTGTCTATGATTGTATGAGCTTAAGAAGGGCTTTATTCGGTTGGAAAAGCTGGAGGAGTTTAAGATGCAGCTTCTCTGGAGTAGGCGAAAGCTACTTCTGTTTGTCAGGGGTTGATGGTCTGAAATAAAAAGAGTGCACGGTGAAGGGGTGTCACAAAGGGAAACAACAGAAAACAGGGGTGGGGTTGGGGGCAGAAATCCTCCTTAGAGGGAAAGCAGGAACAACTATTCAGTAGTTTTCTTGAATACTGGCTTCTACCTTGGCAGTAGTCTTTTCCTGGAGGGGAAGGGCTGGTTGGCCTTCCCAGTGGAGATACCTCACCACACAGGGGTAGGACACAGCAGCTCAAGCTGGTGGAAGAAGAAGCAGGAAGCAAGTGGCACAAGGATGTGGCTGTCTGGGTTCTTGCACCCATGCTGTCTGGTCGTGATGAGACCTGCTATAGGAAACTGGTGGAAGTGACCATCAAGGCTTATGGTAGAAGTGATCTCTTTTATTAGACCAACAAGATTTTTGCAAAAAAAAAAAAAAATTCTTTAATTTTTTTGCAGAAATTTTAGTCTAATAAAAGAGATCATCTCTACTATGAGTCCTGATTGCCTTTTCCTCTAGACCAATATAGCTACAACCCAGATACTTGGTGGAAGTGAGGCACCTAGACAGGTTAGAAATCCCACTAGCTCTTTTAGCTACCTTTAAAAATCTGGGCAAAGGAGCTCACTTTAAGGCCTAAATTAGCTTTAATCTCTTCACTCCATGTATGCATATTGCCCTGCATGTGTGTGTGTACACACGTGTGTGTGTATACATGTGTGTGTTTGAGAGAGAGATGTGTAACCACCATACTCTTCCTTTGTTTGTTCCCTACCAATGACTACCCACTCTGTTGTGGCCCTTTCTACTATCCGTGGACGTGTGCTTGTCCTTGCAGTTGTCTCTTTGATGGTAGCCCCGACTGGAGAAGGAGTAACAGAGAAGAGAAGAGGTATTTAAAAAATCCCATTAAGAGTTTGTTTCCAAAATGCCATGCGACGCCGCGTGATGCTGTGAGGTTTGCCTATTCCCTGGCAGGTCTCAGAGGCTAAACGGAGAGCGCGCAATTGTCCCAACTTGCGAGGTGTGACATGCGGTCAGAGACTCGACGCAAGTCAAATTTGTCAGCTGCAACTTCTGTGCAGATTTAGGCTGAGCAAAGCCATTAGGGAATCTGCATTTGGTGCGTTGTTTGGATAAAAGAGAAACAAACGCACGTATTTTTGACATCCCTGAAACAAAATCGCTTGATTGATTTTTTTTTTTTTTTTTTTGCAATTTGAAATGCATTTGTTTAAAAATGGTTTTCTGAACATTTCGGGACAGTTTTCTTTCAAAATGACAGGAAATGAAGTTCTATTTTTTTTTCTTGTTTTTAATTGCCAGGGAAGTGAAAGTTCATTTATTCACTGAGCTCTAGCAGGGGCTCCTGGTTTGACATCTCTGAGAGGTGGAACTACTGAGCCTCATCCCATTCCACACTGACTCCGAGGTACAGTGTTATTTAAGCCATGTCTAAGCCAGCACATTTTCATTAGATTTCCCATATTTTCCCTAATAATCATAGAAAAATAGTGTGGAAAGGCACCGCTGGAGGTCACAGCCAGTCCAACCCCCTGCTCAAGGCAAGATCATCCCAATCTCTTTTGCAAAACCCATGGCTGCCCTAATTTCTGCTCAGCGCCACCAGTCCTAGTGAAGCAGTGGGGGCACCGGTGGTAATACCATGACATGTGAAAGACAAGGATTTTTAGGGGGTTGTCTTTTTATTGAATGAACGGTGTAGTTGGGAGAGATTTAAACACCAACTACAGACATTTTTGAATGCTAACTCTCAGCCTACTCAGAATCACTGGAGTGAGGCAGACAGATGCTTTCCTATTGGTTTTGGGTGCTAGTTTAGTCTCTGGGGAGGGTAAGAAAAATGGGACTGTAAAGAAAATCAAGCTGCCTTACTGCAACGGGGCTCCTACCCCATCACTGAAGCAGAGAGGAGGCCACGGAGCAACCTTCTGGACAAACTCATAGTGTCAGAGGGCCCTTGAATAAAATGATGGCTTGCCCCGGGTGCAGTCAGCACTGACAGACAGAAGTAGTGGGTGAGATCACCCAGAGAGGGGCATATAAGCCCAGGGCCTGAAGCAAGGGAGTCCAGTCTGGCTCTGCAGGCTGCAAGCAGAGGTCCAGGGAGGAGCAGAGCCTGACCGGACAAGGAGGAAGGACTCCAGGCTGCAAAGAAGCTGCAGAAGCCCCTGCACCACCAGGAACCCAAAGACAAGTATTTGGGGCCCATGTAGGCTGCCACGGCATGGTGTTAACCCAGGGTGGGGAACCTTTTGTTTGAGAGAAGATGCTTATATTTTTCTCATTTGTATTTAAATACTGGGTTGTGGCTAGAGAGGTGGAGGAGACCACCAAGAAGGGTGCCAAGGGCACCCCACATGCCTCCTAGAGGCAGCCTCCCCATCCAAGGTGTGGTAGGTGAGACAATGGGCTGGGACCCTGAAATGCCAGAGGGGACAAGCAAGGTGGGTCCAGGCAACCGCCATCGGGTAACTTTGCTGCCCCAATGTTGGATGCACTACAGTTCCTTATGATGGCTGTCCCCCGGCCTAAATGAAGATCCCGACTGGCTGTGCTTCGCTTGGAAGCTCCCATGCAACCACAATCTGGCATCGCAGGTAAAATCAGCCTGAGAAGAAGGAAAGCCATATTTTTAAATACAGTTTAAATTCTGGTAGAGCGATGCCTTTAAATCCTTCAGTGTGCAGGCCGAGGCAGATGTGCTCCGCCGGCTTGTTCTGACAAGCTCACCTTGGCCGAGGGGCCAGATCTCAAAGAGCTGCAGTTGAAGTTTAACTACTTAGGATCGATGTTTAGATCACACCACGTACTGGGAATTTAAACAGGAGTATCTTTATTTTAAAGCATAACACTTACTCATCAACAAGCTGCCTTGTCTCCCTCGAAGGGGTAAATTATCTCCATCTGAAAAATTGATTGGATTCAATTGTCAGAGGCTGTATCTGCCCAGACTTCACAGCAGCCTTTAACAAAGTGTTGTGGTGGAGCTGGGTTAACAGGCTGCCTATGTGGCCAGTGAAAATAGGATCAAACTGGCCCATGTAGCAAATGTCGTTGCCTAAGGGCTAGAACCATTCTGATGCAAAAAGGCACAACCCCAGCAAAATCAGTGAAGGTGCGGCATCTTACTCCAAGACTCATTTTAGCCTGGACTGTTTGTTTGTCTGTATTGAGCAGCATTTTTCACCTGGTTACATGTCAGTGCAAAGAAAATAGTGACTTTTTCCCCCACTGTGTGTCTGTAAAGTCATGCTCACAATTCTCTTCTGGGCTGTTTTGCAGCTCAGAACTGTTTGTCCATAAAATGCTTGGATGGTAGCGATACTCCTGTTGAAATGTAACATGCTGGCACTTTGCAGGGTTTAATGCAAAGACTGGTCTTTGCCAGAAAAGCAGGCAAATGCTATGTAACTTTTATTTTTTTAAATGAAGTAATTTGGAATGACACCTGGCCTTTATTTTACCTCTGATTAATAACAGCATCTAACAGATCTCATCAGCAGTTCTCTTTAGTAAAGATGTTAGTAGCATTATCCCCATTTAAAAGATGGGAAAAATGAGGCACCAAGCGGTCAAGCAACTCCTCCGGGATGGCTAGGCGGACCAGTACAAAGTCCAGGTTACAACTCAGGCTTTCTGCATCCAAGTGCACTGCTCTACTTGCTAACTAATGCTGCCTCTCAAAAAAATATCATGGGCAATCCCTTGCAATTGAGGACGATTGTCTTCCATGATTGTCTTATCTGTGAGTCTGAAGATGGCTGGTGAGGCCCAGCCAGGATTGACTGACACTGTTGCAAGCTCGGGCACTTGTTTCTGTGCAGGGCGGGTGGCTCTGGATTTTTGATTCAGTCCACAACACGCTGTTTCTGCCGCTCCTGCTTTTCCATATCCTGTTGTTGCTGTAAGGTTTCAAAGTGCTGAGATCCTTGCAGCAGCTCTTCCTCCTTTTGCCAGGGTCCTGGGGGATAGTCTCCCATGCGTTGACAAGGATGTTGCATTTTTTCAAGCTGGCGTTGCGGATGTTCTTGAAGCACTGTCTTTGACTTCTCCTTGAGTGTAGGCCTTGACCAAGCTGGGAGAATAAAACTTGCTTTGGCAGTCTGGAGCTGGACATCTGGTTGATCCGGGCAGCCCAGTGCGTTGATGTTGGAGGAGCATCGTCTCAAAGCTCATGGCGTTTTCTTGCAAGAGGATGCTAATGTTGGTGCATCTGTCTTCCCACTAGATTTGAAAGATCTTCTGCTGGCAGCATTGATGGTAATTCTCCAGCGGCTTTAGGTGTCTCCTGTACGTTGTCCATGTCTCAGCTCCATACAGTGAGAAGGAAATGATGGCTGCTTGATAAACCATGAGCTTGGTTTTGGATCTGATGTTGCGGTCTTCAAACACCCATTTCCTCAGGCATCCGAAGGCTGCGCTTGCACATTTGAGGCAATGTTGGATTTCTTCACTGATCTCGGCCTTCTGCGAAACATGGGACATTCCCAATGTTCTCCAGAGAGTCTCCGCTGGTTTTGAGTGGTTAGCTAGGAAAGTTTGGCATTTCTTCTCCCCTGCCTCAAAACTTGGATCACTTTCAAAGTGGTGGAAATGAAAGCAAAAAACATCTGTCAGATTTGGCACGGTGGTGCTAGCTTAGAAACCAGGTTGGGCCCATTTATGCTGGGAAGCCACACTGTGTTAGATTCACATTAGCCAGGTGTGAACTGCAGTCTCCATGTCCATGGCAGGGAAATGTTTGATGTCTGCACTGCTACGTCTGCCAGCCCAAGCACCCACAACGTCTGCCCAGGGAAAGCCAGCTTGAGGCCTAGGGTACCATGAGAGCTGCTCTGGCTCACTTGCAACCAGGCATCCTGGAGCATCCTACCAAGCCATTTTAGAGCCAGCCTATGGTTCCCTGATGCAAGCTGACCCCACTGTACAGTCAGAGGTGCATGAAAAGGCAGGAAAACTGCTGCAGCTCTACTGTTGTGGATGCCTCTAGGGTAGGGGTGGGCAAAATGTGGCCCAGGGGCTGGATGCGACCCTCTAGGCCATTCTATCTGGCCCGCGGGGCCCCTAAAAATTTAGAAAATTAATTAATCTGCCCTGGGCTGCCTGTCAAGTGGTCCTTGATGGCTTGCTGAAACTCAGTAAGCGGCCTTCTGCCCAAAATAATTGCCTGCCCCTGCTCTAGGGGGACTTTTGGGATTCTTCTCCCCGCAGTCTCCACAGTATGGGTGCACAAGAGGGTGGGGAGCCCAAAGAGTCCTTGTCCGTATCCATTATATCCCCTCTTTTTCTTCAAAGATTTTTCAGTTTATGCCAGTAGAGATCTGGCAATAAAATAAGGGGCTGCAGCCAGCTTTTATCTGGTCTCCCTTCTTCTATTCCACCCAACAAAAATGGGGCGCAGTGGAGAATCCTGTCCCCATAGTGTGCTGCTTCTCCCACCCCCTCCACATCCACTCCCCAAACAACCCTAATTCCCCTAGGGATCCAAATGATCATTGCCACACATCTATGAGCCTGGAATGGTAGGTTTAGTAGCAAGGTCGCCTCCAGACAGGGCTGTTGCTCCAAGCGCAATAGGAAGCCTTCTGCTTCCAGCTTCTGTAGGCAGAGAATGGGTGCTGTGCCAACACGGCTCCTGTTGCTGAAAAATAAATGCATAAGAAGTGAATTAAAGCTACTCACGGTTTTCAGGTCTCTCTGCCATATCAGTCGAGTTCGTGCAGCTTTGATTTCACCTTGCTGAAGGGGCTCGGGATGCCTCTGCAAAACTCTCGACTACAATGCCGAGACGCTGCCTTGCTAAACATTTGAAATCAAAGCTTGCATCCATGTCAGGGACACGCAGTGCTAGAGAGGGGTAAGCCTCAAATGGGCAGAGGAGCATCCGAAAGAATAGATCAGCACTCGCTTTGCTCTTTATAACAGGCTGGGGGTTTCATGGGCCATGGGTGTCTAAGAAGACTTCCTGCAATGGCTGATTACAGCCAGGTAAGAAATGGTATAAAAGCAGCTTTACTAGCACGCTGCATCAGCATTTCTGCTTCATTGCCAGGAAAATCTGAACATACCGTATGTCTGTAGTGTTAGAGGGATGTTGTAGCCATGTCTGCTTCTTTCTTAAGCCTTAGGAAGGACACTCTGTACCCAAAAGCTTGTCTAAACCTCTTCCAACTATGCAGTTGGTCCAGTAAAAGATATCAGCCGCAATATGTCTATCGAGGTTTAAAAAAAGGAGTGGACAGATGACATACAGATCTGTGCTGCTGCAGTTCATTCACATCTGGAAAGATCAAGGGCAAAACTAGACACATGGAAGTTATACTGATGTTCATGCCATGTCCCTGCAGCTGATTCCAGGTCAGCTGTTTTCACAAGGCAAATGGGCTGTTTCTTGCCTCAGTGAAGAGTGGCAGAAGTGGCTTCCTACTATGTGCACATACTCTCAGATAACTACTCCAGCCACTCTGGCTCTGGGTACAGTTGACATCAGTGTACCAAAGTGATGTAGATTACACTGGTGTAAACACGTGACGTGTCCACACATAGGATCTAGGAGAAACGAAGGAACAACAAAGTGATTCATAGAGCCCTTTCCAACTTTATAAGAGGTCGAGGCTTTGCCTAGATCATGGCTTGAGCAGAGGGCAGAGGCAACCGGCTGCTACAATCCTCCCTCCGCCCCATTTTTAGGACTGTGAGCACCAGTGACTTGCCCCCTACCTTTAATGTCAACATGGCAGCAAGCACTGCATCGCGTCAGCCTGTTCTTATCAGAAGCAAGGTAAAAAAGATGCCGGAAGTGTATTGATTCAGGGTGCAGTGCTCTTTCTTCAATCCATCTCATCCTGCTTGCAAAGGGGCTGTCAGCTACTACAGGATCTACAGGGATCCTAAATACATACGGCTATTCCCGTAGTATGTTATGTAAGATTAGGGGTGTCCCATGTCTGGGATAAATCCCAATTAAGTGACTGCATTCTGCCTCCCTCGAGCTTCCCTCCTTTTCCCTGGACTGTCCTGTACTGTTGCTGTGTGTCGTTAAACCATTGTAATGCTCCACATCAGAAGAGTCAGACAAAATTATTCCTGCTGTAGACATTTGAGGCCAAATTGTCAAGAGCACAGGACCCACAATCCAAGACTGGGTTTCTAAAGCACCTTAGTGTGTTGGGCTCGTTGGAGAAATCTGGCCCGAATCATGCCTGCTGAGTCTTGCTGGAGATTATGTCCATACATGCAATCGTGTCAGAGGCTGGGTGCCAGGAATTTGGGATGTAGCCCTTTGGATTCACCATTACATGGGGCCCATGGCTGGAATAAATGGTAAAGCCCTGTGGATGAAAGATGGGTCAGATATTCACATAAACTTCAGGCCAACTCCACCGTGGTGCATGCTTACATGGGCACAATTATGGCCCAGTGTCATCTGTGAACATGCAAGTGATTCGGTATACACACAAAGCTATTTTCCTTGATAGTCCTGGTCAGGTAGGGTTTTTTTCAGGCATGCTTAGATAAAAGTGGCAGAACATAATAAGGGCTGCATCCTCAACTGGCTTATAAAGCTTAAGATCAAGGATTTCTTCAAACCCAGCACTTTCCCATTCTTTAGCCTCCAAAATGGAAAGCAATTAAGTGATTTTTTTTTCAAGAAGCTGAAGATGATGCTGTAGTACAGAGACCTGGTTTTAAAGAACATTGTATAAAACCACATAATATTGACCCTGGAAGCAAACATACCTCCCTAGGTGGGAAAAGATCTCTTCAAGCAGGGAGACACAAAACAGGTTTCAGAGATCTAGCGAGTGAATTTGAGCAGTTTGTGCAAACATGTTAGATCACAGGCCCACTTAGAAGAAGATGTTGATGGGTTTTCTCACGCCGCGGGGCAGAGCAGGCTGGCAGGACGGTGTTACCTCATAGACTCGTGCACAGTTCAGTACAGCGAGAACTTGGCTTAGGAGGGTCCAGGATTGAGATAATAAGGAAACCAATGTTGTTTTTTGCCTGGCTGAATAAGAGGGGCTTTGTTCAGGGGACAGGGCGTGGGTCACGGGCAGAGCGGTGGGAGAGAGATTTTCTTTCGGCTACCTGCAACTAAACTATGAAAGGAATGCTGCCGTCCTGCAGGCTCCTTTCTGTCTTTAGAAATGGAAAGAGATTAACCAGCGGTATTGTTTGATATTAACTGGGCTAGAAAACACCTGTGAAAGGTTTGATTGTTTGTCTACGTGAGTCACTTCCCGATTCAGATGAATAATGGGCAAAACCCTTAAGGGACCCACAACCCCTGCAACTTCCATGGAAATCAGTTGAATTCACTGCCTCTTCTTTGTCCAGCAGGCGTGCTAAGGGTCATAGCAGCAGCCTAAATTCAGGCACTTCAAATGCATGGGAAAAAAGAGAGTATCTGCCCCAAAGAAGGTACGATCCAAGTATAAGACAAGAGAAAATGGGTGAGCACCGGCACTAGATACAAAGACGCACTGTTGGCAAGCTGGATAGGAAGTGATGCCACCAGACAAACCTGGCGTCTACCCGTCTGTTGTGATGTTCACACTAGGCATTCACAGATAAGCAGGAAGGTGTTGATTTGATATTTGGGACACAGCAGCTGTCTCTTTCTGACCTGTGCAGATGCTGCGGGGTGAATGGTGCCTCCCGGTGTTCCTACTATGGGTCAAATTCCAGTGCTGGTAGTGGATCACCCATTTTTGGTATGCCCAACATGACTAAGAATTGGGAAGAGGCTGCTACCAGGGGCAAATCCTGCTGCGTGAGTCAATGAGCAACATTCATTTCCCTCCCACGCTGGGGCATGGTGCTTCTTTGATGGGGAAGAAAGGCACATTGCTGGGACGGGAGATGCTGCGGGTATGTCACATGGTTGAGGGAAAAAGCCCTGTTCACTCACTCCCACTCTATACACATTAATCCTGGAAACAAGGCAAGGAGAGGGACCCTTGGAGATATGCCAGGGTGTCTCCTTGAGCATGCGAGAAAACCTAGGTCTCAAGCACCATGCCGTGGGTAGCTGCAGAGCACCCACGCTGCCTCATTTTTGGAGACGAAGCAGGGCTAGAAATGTACTTCCAACACATGCCTCTGAGACACAAGCGTCCTCGTGGCTACGTGGAGGTGGGGAGCAATGTGGCTGCGTGGGGATGCCAACACTTTGCCCAGAAGGATCTCACCACCTAATAGAGATAGAGGGGATTTCTTCCTCTCTTAATGCAGATGTCATACTCCTCTGGGTCTACCAGTGGCAGGCACTTTGTACTCCCCAGTCATACGTTTTGTGATCCAGGGGCAGCTGTTGAACTTCACGCAGACTGAGATTGAGACATCTGATCAAATATATCCCTCCTCCGCTAAGCTGGAAGTGAAGCCATTAGGGGAGTTTTAGATCGACTTGTTTATTTTTACTGCTCTGCTAATTGAATGCAATCCTGAATGTCTTTGGCATTGCGCACACGACCTTTTGTCAGGCTGTCCTCGGTGCGAGGCGGCGTGGGGATTCTTTACTAATGCGTGTGGCTTCTTCTTCCAGTAACAGACACATACGTATCCCGCTGAGAGCTGGAGCCAGGCCGATAGATGGGGCTCGTTAGTTTTTAATTGGGTTTACCGAATGTGGAAAAATGAACAAATAAAACCTGAGAGTACTCGAGATACAAAGGCATCTCTGGAGAGAGGGATAACCAGTGGGAGAGGATGGCAGCAGACTCTTGCGGGAAGCTCAAGCGGTTAAGTTGGTGCGCCTGGTGGAGAAGAAAACACCTGCTTGGTGCTTCCATCAAAGCCCAGATCCTGGTTGTGCCAGGAGTAGATTTCCCTGAGCAAAAAAGGGATCATGGCCATCTTCACCAAGCCCCCTAGACTTTTATGGTGAGGCAATGCACCAGCTCAATGAGTTGCTTTCGAAAGATGTGAGCATTCAATGAGAAGCTCTCCACAATCGGGAGACCAGCTTTGTCCTAATCAGGCACTTCAGGAAGCTGTGGGCGAGCCACCCAGACTCATCTGCTCCCCGTTCAGCCCTGCGAGGGGCCAGGGGTGCAAGTAGAAGAGCAGCCTGGCCCCGTGCTACGCTCTTCCTCGTCAGTGCCCTCCGGAAGTCGCAGGATAAGAAGCAGCCAGATGGCAGCCAGCGTAGGGCCTCGCAGGGAGAAGCTGAAGGGTAAGTAGATATCCGCCCTCTGTTTGTGTATCTAGCCCCTCTCCTGTGATGGGTTTGGTGGTTGCAAGCATCTGTTAAGGCACCTTCAGCTCCTTTGGTTGCTGTGGGCTTCCTCCAGACAGTCTGAAGCCCACCCTACTACTTCTTCAAGCAGACGGTTGTAGACCCTGCAAATATTAGAGGCAGTTCCTATCACCACTTGGGAGATGTCAGGTCTGTAGGACCCTACTGGGCATCATGTCCCGTTATCTTCTTAAAGAACCACACTTCTTTTTCTGGATTCCCTTTCCATCTCCAACATCCAGCCATATCCCCCGATGGCAACTCATCCATCCTTCCCAGTGGGGTCCCAGGAATTAGTCTTAGCAGTAATTTCTTTTGCACTGCCGCTTGTATAGACTACGTAAATCCTATGTTTCTTTCTTTTTGGGTGGGGGGGAGAGGTATCATCCGTGGAAGGAGCATTTTAATGGGATCAAACTAGCTTGGGAGGAGGGGACAGTGGATGAAAGTGAATCCTACAGCCTTAGCAAACAACGTCCATGGAACAGGAAAATATTATGGAGACATGTCTTCCTTTCCTCCCCAGCTGTGAATGTTGAAAAATGAATGAATAAAAATGCTCAGGGATCTGTTCAGAAGTGGGAGTCGCTACCCCCCCACCGCAGGCACATCACAGTGCATAATCTACCCACTAACCATCACTGCATGTGCAGCACAGTGGGCTTTTTACACCAGCCCCTATGCATGCAAATCATGTTGTGCCATTTCCACGCCACCTGCCACTCCATATACATTTCAGGATGTGGCCGGCACACCACCCACCACTGCAAACGCATTGCATTGTGCAGTCTACGCACCACCCGCTGCTGCAAAAGTCTTGCAGCCTGTTGTCTCTCCACCCCTGCATATCCTTTGCACTGTGCACTGCTTGCCACTGCATACACAGCAGGTAGAAAGAGAAAATTACCAAAAAAAGGGCTAAAAAATAAGAGGCTCTACGAACAAACGGTACCTTTTCCACATGGCAGGCCAATGTCTTTTGTGGCTTTAAATATGCTCTGCAGCATCCCTTGAGAACGCCTACCACCTCCTTTCTTTCTTCATTCCTGGGGACTTCCCAAGCCTAACTCGGGCCCTTTCCTACTCCCTAGCCCCCGCCTCTTGTTATTTCTTGTCCAAGGTGTTGTCTATCTATCTCTTTGCCTCCCCTCTCCTGCCCTGTCTCTAAGAGTCCTTGTCCGTATCCATTATATCCCCTTTTTTTCTTCAAAGATTTTTCAGAGCGTGGTGTATTTTTGAAAAAGCCGTCTCTCCCCTGGGATCTGTTGAGTTGTTTGTAGGTCTGTCTCCAGTCGCTTGCCCTCCCAGATACTCAAGGTAGATGGGCTCCCCTTCCACAACACGGTCGTATCCTGCCTTAGCAGTTTGAGGTGGGTTTGCAAAGCAGTTTTTCATCTTGCCCGCTCTATCTCGCATTACGGAAATATGCTCATTGCGTGTGGCATCCCAGGCTGAGACAGAATTCAAGCCCAGGGTAACGAAACAAAATCTAGCACTGCAGAACAGCATACTTAAATAACAGATTTCTAAAGGCTCCCAGGCTGACAATCACCCACAAGTACAGCATCGTTCCTGCAACATGCAGCACTCCAGGGAATATACTGAAGAACTACTCAACTCCCCCAGAGAAACTGCCAACAATATAGGAAATAAAAGACCACTAAACTCAAGGTGAGGATGAATCATGTGGCCCGTAGGGATGCTTGAAGAAAGCTTTGATTATCTTGTACTTTAGTGAACGAGCATCTCTGAATTAAAGGAATAGAAAAAAGCACGTTGCTAAAAATATAGGTAGCACAGACACAGGAACATGCAGATCTGGGTCCTCTTTGATCACCACTCCTCTAATCTTAGTATGAACAAAACACTGTCACCAGCCCTTAACATGTAGTTTGTACAGCACGCACGTCCTTCACAGCCTAAATATCTGGGCAGCACTCTCCCTTCTGTTCAGATGTTATGAAATGCTGCCTGGACAGTATGGACTATAGGGACTGCATGGACTGCAGAAATGCGCATGGACAGCATGCGCTATAGGGACTGCAGAAATGCAGCATGGGCAGCATGGACTATAGGGACTGCAGAAATGCAGCACGGGCAGCATGGACTATAGAGGCTGCAGAAATGCAGCATGGGCAGCATGGACTACAGGGATTTGCTTCATGTCAATATAATTGCCGTCCAACATACAAATTACAGTGGCCAGGACTGCCCTTCAATATACAAATTACACTGGCTGGGACTTAGGAGACCTGGGTCTTATTCCTGGCTGTGTGATGGGTCTTCGGACCCATCTGGCAGGTGACTTTGCTTCTTTTATTTCTCATTTTCCTCTTCTGTACAATGGGGATGATGGTACTGATGTGTTTTATGAAGGGCTTTGTGATTAAAAGTGTGCGATGCGAGGGAGGTATTACTTTTTCCCTCCAAATACGCATGGCAAAAATGTGAAGGTTGCAAAGCCAGGCAAAGGTTAGAAGATTCAGAGTGAAGGTCACCCATGCACTGTGACTTTGGGCCCCTTATGCCCACCCCTGCTCTACACTCAACAGAATTGAGTGCTTTTTTGCTCTTCCTTCAGCAAACATACCCTGAAAATACCCTGTATGACCTTGATATGTCCCAAATAACCACATTTACCAGCTACATACAACATGGAAAGCCTGAGGACAAATACAAGCTTCTGCTCTGGTGGGCTTCTGAAACACAGAAAACTGTGAGAGCCACTACACAGACCACAAACTATTTTTGTTGGTGATTGCTGTGGCCCACTTTCTGATAGGGGTGAGACACCTGGAGCAAGTAACTCCAGTCCTTTAACAACTGCACTGGCTCCCAGTAGTTTTCTAGGCACAGTTGAAGGGTGCTGGTCTTGACCTATCTTAAATGGTCTGGACCCTACCTAGCTAAAGGGCCACCTTCCCTTTTTATGCCCCATCGCAATCCTTAAGGTCAGCCTAGAGCAACCTCCTGCAAGTACCACCAGTGCACCAAGCCTGCCCGGTTAAAATTGTGGGGCATCATTCTCAGTTTTAACTCCTCGGCTCTAGAAATCCTTCCTTCTTCAAGGCCTGCCAGATCCCAAGCCTGGACATCTTTGGCAGCATTGTTAGACCTTCCTATTTGGGCAGGTGTTTGGCAAACAAAGCTAGGTCGAGATGTCGTTTAATGGGTCTCTTTTATTGGGACAGTCTAGTTGCCTTCTTAAATTGTTTTCTTTTCTCGCTGTAAGCTGCCCCAAGCCTTTGTTGGGAAGAGCGGCATATAAATTGCATAAATAAAATAATAAATATTTAAAAGTATGCCGCCCCCCCACCCCCTTCCTACACACTGCATTCCTTATGGAAATTTCTGTGGCATTCGCAGTCTAGTATTTGACTATTTCATACACATTAGTGGATGCATCTTTACAAGACTGTGGGAGAGGAGCTGATAAAATTGCCCCAGTTTTACAGGGAATGAGGCAGAAATAGCGAGGCTCGTATTGTCAGAACTGCCCGCTGCTCATCCGGAGACCCTAAGGACCTGATCGGGCTGGGAACTTGGCATCCATACAGCAGTTTGGATATTCAAAACACAGCACTGCTGTTGTGAGTGCTCAGCATTTCTGCAGTTCTCCTAATTAGAATAAAATACAGCGGAAAACACCTGAACACCAGGGGGAAATAAGACCAGAGATTTTGTCACAGGGATCCACACTGATGATCCACCTTGGGTCTTTCTCAGAGCGGGACATGTAGATCCACAGCAGAGATCTCTAGCACATGAGTCACTGGTAGCGGTAGAAGGTTGTTGTCCTCTGTATGGACCAGGCGGTAGAGGAGGACGAGGTGCTGCTTTTGCCAGTGGGTTTCACAACTGCCTGTAGAGGAAGGGTGAGACTCAGACCCCCGGGGTTGACTTCCAGGGTCTGGGGTGGTTACAGACTCTTCTCTTGTCCACAATCCCATTATACCTCTGCTGCTATCCGGTCTCTCTGTTCCTCCTGCCTCCTTCTCTTCCTGCCCCTGTCAGCCCAGCTGTCTCTTATACCTCTTCTCCCCTGTGTTCCCATTCATCCACCTCCACCAGCTCCTCTGCTGCCTTCATCCTCTGGCTACTGAAACTTAAATCTCTCCCGATATTTCTTTTTTGATCCCTCTGCTTTCCAGTCACATGCCTCCCTTGTTATCTTTGCTGCACGGACTTTGGCATTAGGGGCAATAAATATAAGAAAAACAGTTTTCTTGCTGTCTCCGCACATAACAGCCCTTGGCTGCCGGGAGAAAAAATCCTCCAGAAAGCCACATTTCTGCAGCCCTGGTCTGGAGCATGCTCAGTGCAGAAACCATCTGTGCAGGATTTAGCTACTAGGTGTGAACTGAGATTTTTTGGAGGATTTGAACTTGGCCAAGTTTGAGAACATTTCCCCAGAGATGGCAAGGCTGATCCTAAGGCCACCTCCTTGGGAGAATCAGAACTTTTGCTTTTTTTAAGTTAGGAAAATAATGTACGTTCCCATCATCTTATGTCCTGGAAATGAGTAAAAATAATAATTACGAAAAAGAAATCCAGCTAGGCAGACTCTACCTTGGAAAATTTCAGCTCAAACTGTTGAAGTGCGTGCTTGCCACAAGCCAGTGAAAACAGGGCCTTATAATACAATGACGTCACCATTCATAAACGTATTGTGAATTGGAGAGTCTCCCGTGGTTTTCTTCATCTCCCAGCTCCTGGATGCATATGATTAGACAAGTAATTCCACTTCTATTTCTTTAAAAAAAGATATCCCATAGTTTGTAGCCTGCGTGGTTGCAGGAGAGAACTTGAAAACATGACCCTGGTACAATTTAAAGGCTTGGAAATCCAAATCCAAATAAAAAGAACCCAAATTATATATATATATAGAGAGAGAGAGAGAGAGAGAGCTCTATATACACATACATATATATACATATATATACACAGATACAGACACACACATTTTCTATATATATACACACACATACACACACATTTATATATATATGTAAAATGTGTATGTATGTATACCCAAATGCCAAATATATACATATATAAAATGTGTGTTTTTAAGAAACATGATTTTCTAAGATAATCATGGTTTTAGGAGCCTTGACTCATGGTATTTGAATGCCTGAGGTTTGCAATCCTGTAATGGAAAGTGTTGGGCAAACTTAACTATAAGCACTGCTGGCGATTGTGCCTAAAAACACACTGTTTTGTTTTTCGATTTGAACCTCTGTGTCTCTCCGGCTCTGCCAGGGTGTTGTCTGTTTGCATCACCCTTTCTGTTTTGATTTTTCTGCTTCAGTTTTCTCCTTGGAGGAGAGGGTGAGCTGTATGTATTTAAAGTATCTGTGTAGTTAGGGTACAGCTTGATTTTGTTTTATGCCTTTTTGGAAGAGAGTGGCATTTGCTAACTGCCGCCAGGCTGGCCTTTCTATTTCAGTACAGTTGAGTACTGTATGTCTCTCTATTTTGGTCTCAACAGCGAGCTACTTAAAGAGTGTTGGGCCAGACCTTGAAATTTGTGCATGTTCATTAGTCTAGTTTATTATTTGCATTGCCATAGCAAGCACATGGTGCACTTAGCATCCAGGCCCCATTTTCCTGAGTGCCAGACAATGCATATAGCAAGAGACAGTTTCTTCCCCCAAAGGGCTCGCAGTCCAAGCCCCCTAAACCCGAGAACACTTAGGCACGTATATAACTACGTATATGACTACTCTCACAGGAGTCCACTGTCTCCTTCCCTAAGTTATAGATACATTTAAATGTTCTTGATGCTCAAGGTTCATTTTAGGACAAGGTGCAAGAGATCAGTGCAAGTGCCAGAGTGGAGAGTACCGGGCTGGGTACATAGATCAGCGCTGTGCACTCTTAGCAGGCTCTGAGTCCATTTTGCCTTCGATGTAAAATAGCCCAGAAATACAAATATCAGTGTTTTCTAATCCCTTATGACCTTATGCTGACCTCTTCTCCAGCAGTGATTTTTTTACTGCTTGCCGTTTCCCATAGTTCAGCCTATTGCATCACAATGGCATTATTTTCTCTGTAATCTGCATAGTTGTTGGTTTTTTTTTTTTCTGGGCTAGCTTTTATTTTAACCTCATATGTCTGGTTTTGTTGTTAATCCTTTGGGCTCGCAGGCTCTAAACTTCCATTTTAGAGGAGTGGGATGCATGTAGGTCAGGACCGATCTGTGCTGGGGGAGAGGCTGGGAATTGGGAAAAGGTGATCTGTATTGGGCGTGCGGGGAGGGTGGATGGATGGACGGGACTGTAGCGATGAGATTCGCTCTGAAATTGCACAGGGGAATATTTTTGGTGCCGGGTATTCATGACTGTCACCTCCCCCCTACTTCTGTTTGGGTTTAAATTCATCGCTTGGGAGGAAAGCGTAAACCTGAAGCTTATGCGAGGCTCCCTATGCCTGACAAAAGGGTGCTTGTGCCCGAAAGCTTGCAAAAAACGTTTTTTCCAATTATTTAGTTGGTCTAATAAAAGATATCATATTAACCCAAAGAACCTGGCCTGCCTGTGTCCTTAGACCAACACAGCTACAACCAGCACCCCTAAACCTGAAGTTTTTATACGTGGATATGGAAGTGTTAGGTAAGAGGGACCTTGGGGGTTCGCTTTCCCCAACCTTAGGGCAAAGATCAAGCACACGTTCAGTACCCGAAGGGGAGCAGGTCCCCTAAGCCACTCGCACAGCTGAGCGTCGGGCACCCCCGATCCTGCCCCATTTCAGTGGGTGGCAGCTTTTCCCTGGCAGGGGCTCTGGCCTCCGCCCTTGGGATCCACCCTGGCCTCTCAGGAAGGTGGGGATGGCAGGGGAGTCACTTGGGGTGGGGGTAATTTGAGGGAAAACCCTCGCCTGCTGGGGCCAGCAGCACCGGGAGGGGGCTGCCGGTCTCCAGCTGGGCAGAGCTGGTGTGTGGGGGGGGGGGCAGGGCTGACTCACAGATTTGGAATTGATTTGGCCCATTGGTCTTGGAAGAGAGAACATTCAAAAATTTAAAAAATTAAAAATCTCCAGCTTTAACCCTTCCCTGCCCAAGGGAGTGGTCCATGGGGGGGGCTTTAACCCTTCCCTAGCCATCTCCAGCTGGGGAATGGTGGGGGGGTTAACCCTTCCCTGCCCATCTCTAGCTGGGGAGTGGTGGGTGGGTGGAGGGGGGGTTAACCCTTCCCTGCCCAGGGGGGTGATCCATGGGGGGCTTTAACCCTTCGCTGCCCATCTCCAGCAGGGGAGTGATCAGTTGGGGGGCTTTAACTCTTCCCTGCCTGGGGGAGTGATCCATTGGGGGGGTTAACCCTTCCCTGCT